CTCACACGCTCTCTCTCTTTCGCTGTCGCTTCCCGGCAGATTTATGGCCAGCCCAGGGCCTGCCATTGGCCGAGCGCTGACAGGCCTTGATTTAACGCCGCCTCTCATTGGCTGAGCTTGACAGGCCGATTTACGAGTCGCTCTGCCATTGGCCAAGGCGCCGGGGCCCTGATTTATGGCTGGCGGGCTGAGGGAGGGGGGGCGCGATTGGGGAGAGGGGGGCAGTGGGGAGGCCCCTCCCCTCGGCGCCGCGGCCCGCTCCCCTCCGGCGCCCCCTCCCCTGCAGGAGCCGCGCTCCCTCTACCTGTTCCTCCACCTCCTTCTCTCTCCTCCCCGGGGAGGGGGAGGTGGGGTGCGGCGGTGACGGGCCCTGAAGCCGAAGACAGTGGAAGGGGCACGCGGGCGACGCCTCTGAGGGGCAGGGAGGGGGCCCCAAGGGGAGAGGAAGGGACGTGGGAGCGGGAGCGAGGACACTGCGCCAAAGAGCCGGGGCAAACTGGGGGTGCACAGGGCTGAACACAAAGGCTGGGGGAGAGAACGGGGAAGGAGAGACTGAAAGGGGCGCCTTTGAGGGAGCAAGTGGACTCAGCCATCACTGTCCAGGCCGAGCAGAGATGGAAATTTCCTGCAGACAATGGCTCTGCACGAGGGGCTCCGAGGACCCAAAGGGCGCCGACCGGCCGCTGGAGAGGGACGGGCAGGCCGGAGGAGGAATAGTGAAGGGGGAGTCGAGGCGGAACCAGGTTGGTTCCGTTGGGGGTGCGCCTGTGTTCTGGAAGGAAGGACCCAGACACGCTGTCCGCTCAGGGAAGGCCAGCCACAAGCCCTGGCCGCTTCCTCCAGGCTGCAGAGACCGGCTCCCTGCACCTCACTCCTCCCCCTTGCCCCTGTCCCCCAGTTAAATTTATGACCTAAGGGCTGGGCTTCAGGAATTGGGAATATTTATTCGTTCTTTGAGAGTAAAGTTTAGAAGGTGATAAATAAGGGGCCGAGGGGGGGTGCAGCTGGGGCGCCTATTTTTAGCATGGCCACTTTCACAAGGACCCCCACTCCCGAGTCCCCTCTCATCCTGAGCCAGAGAAGGGCGCAAGGGGAGGCTTGGGGGAGTGGGTTTCAGGTATCAGGAAGAGTCTGGTTCTCCCGCGGAGCCCCTCGGAGGACTGCAGAGTTCTGCAGAGTTCTGCAGCGGAGAAGGTGGAAGGCAGATGGGGAGGAACTTTCCAAACATCCTGGCATTCTTATAACCCCTGGGGTGCAGTTACAGTACTTCTGCAGATGAAGAGAAATGGGGAGAAGCCGGTTGATTTCCGTTTTACCTCCCACCCCCACCCCGCCCCCCAAGTTCAGTTGCTGAGGAGTAGGGGAAAGGAGCCAGAAAGGCAGAGGCAGGTTTTCCTGGGAGGCCACCTCTCTCCCAGCGCGGGCATTTAAGACCCCCACAGCCCCGGTCTCTGGGAAAGGTCTCTGGGAAAGGACGCTGGGAGTGTGGGGCCCTGGGCACCTCGGAATCCAAAGACCTGCCCACCCCCACTTCTGATTCTGAATTAGAAACAGCCAGTGGTTCCTGATACTCCTTGCCCTGGGCCTCCAGGAAGCGAGGGAGGGGCAGGATCAGCTCCCAGGTCCACAGGCTTTCTCCAGCCCTCAGCTGTGAGGGCCTATCTGTGACCCCAGCTCACGGTGAGCAAAGATGGGGGGCTGGACAGAAAGGCTGTGTAAAGAGAACGGAGAACTGGGGGAGAGCCCCCCAACACACTGTGCCCACCATCCCCTGAGGCCCTAGAAAGGACGGTCGCAGTGCCCGCAGGGACCCTGCCACCCACCCTGAGTGCTGCCCAGTGTGGGACGAGGGAGGGAGCAGGGTCTCAACTGGCCCTTTAAGAGCTCCTTGGGGTCAGAAAGCCCGGGCGGCACCGGGGAAGGAGCTGATGTCAGAAGACGGATGGGCAGCAAGATGGGGATTGATGCTAATGGGGGAGTTAAAGCTAAGTACCCAGACACTCAGAGGGCAGAACTGCAGATCTGTCTTCCTTATGCTCACCCCACCCCTCCCCAAACCAGGGCTGTAAATCTGCCTCCTCAATTGGGGGAAGGGGAAGGAGGAGAAGCAAGATGCTCTCTTCTCCCTTTTCCTGTTTTCTCCTAACGGCGCTGCCCCCCCACCCCCATTCTTTTGTCCGCTCCCAATCTCTCCTCCGAGAATCTATAATCTATAACTCTTTCCCACTAAAATTTCCGACGGCTGGCTTTCCATCAGGAATTGAGGGGGTGCTTTCATCTTGCAGAAGTTTAAGAGGAAAATGACAAGGTCTCATCGCGAGGCTCCAGGGTGGAAAGGGGGGGGTCTGGTGAGCCCGGAGCGCTGGCTGCCTCAGTTTCTCTTCCCTGCACGCTCTGCTCTTCTCGCTGGGAAGTGCCTCTAGCAGCCTTCTCCCGGGACAATGAGGCGAAGGCAGGGAGTGATTCTGGGGGCTAGAGATGGGGGAGGCCAGTGCCGCAGAGCGGGGTTTGTGGACATTCCGAGGGGCTAGCAGGCCCCCAAGGCAGCTAAAGAGGCAGCAGGAGCTGTCCACCAGAAGACCCACGGCCTGGCTTCTCGGAAACTCCTAGATCACACGGCCCCTCTCCTGGAGCACCACACCCTGCCTGCTGAGTAGAGACAACTTCAGGCCAATAGTAATTTACTGTAACGGCAGGTCCTGTTCCTCATGGCGCTGGGGACCTCGCAAGAAGGCTCTGGGGAGCCGGGGCAGTTACCCCTGGGGAATTCCTTTCTTCCTTTACTTCCAGGCTGGACTGTATCTGCTGTCTTTCAGGACCCATAAAGCACCCTTATCCCCAGCTCCACTGGGAATCCAGCCCTTTCTTTGAGCCCTCCCTCTCCCTCTCATCTGCTGCCTGAGATGCTAATCCTGCACACCTTTCTCTTCTTGGGAGCAATGAATACCCCAATCTCCCTGGGTCTAAATCCCCCTAAAGAATCCGAGAATGACTCCAAGACGTCAATCGTCAATCTCTTCTCTTCCCTCCTCCCAGGTCTTCCTTCAGGGGCCCAGATCTTCCAGGGGGCATCCTCTGTTGACTGCCTGTCCAGGTTCCAGGGAGAGAGTCCAGGGGAGTGGACAAGGTGGGGGCTATGAGAGGGGCCGGTGGAACCCCGACTTCCAGGCTCCTAGCATCTGGCCAAACACTCCCCCCTGTCCTGGAGGTCAGCCACTGCCCGCAGCCCTGGTCTCTGGCTGCTTCCCCATCCCGGCGATAAATCCCGTCTTTGTCTCCCCTCCACCCAGGCCCCAGGCGGCTGGGGGTCAGAGGCTGGAGGAGGGGTCAACGTGGAGGCGGGAGAGAGGCCGGCAGAGTGGGAGGAGAAGATGGACGGGAGCAGCTGGGGAGCGGCGGGGTGGGCAGCCGGCTGGGGCCTGCGGGCTAAATCCTGGCGGCACAATCCGGCAGGTCTGCATTCCGAGGGGAAGCCAGGGTTCCTGAGTCACGGACACCTCGGCTGGTCCCTGGGCACCGGGATGCTGAGAGGGCGGGCGCAGGCTGCCAGGAAGGAGGCAGCAGAACGAAATGGAGAAGAATAATATTGTGGGAACCATCCCTGTCCGCACCACCGCCCCTTGCACACGCATTCCTCACACACAAGATTTATGGCCCATCAGCAGGAGGGAGCCCCGAGAGCCAGACCCCCCTGCCAAGCCCCTCCCCACAGGCCTTCTTTGCCCACTTTCCCCTTCTCCTCTCTCCAGTCTTTTCTCTGCCCCAGGCCTGTTTCTCTGCGCGCTGCTACCCCCGTTTGTGCTGCCGGCTTTCTGCCCTCGTCACTGTCTCTGCCCCCTGGGCCCCAGTCACCTTTCCCTGCTCGCTCCCGGCTCCCAGTGCTTCTCACCTGCCTTTGCGGGCCCCACCTCCCACTCCTACTTGTTGGGCCTTCCCACCCATTCTGCCTGGGCTGCTCTGGGCCTAGCCCACCTCACTCCCTAGCCCTGTCTGACCAAGGCGGACAGGCAGGCTGCGGGGAGGGAAGAGGAGGGAAGAGCCTGGAGGTCTGTGTTATGGTGTGGCACTGGGGTGCGGGAAGCCAGGCCACCAGGAGAGAAGCTCAACTTGGGGAGAAGGGGTGGAGTGGGAAGAGGCCTGAACGGAGAAAAGACAGGGAAGAGTCAGGCCTAAGGACAAGTGTGTTGGGGTCAGTCTGCAGGGGGGGGACATAAGGGGTCTTGTGTCAGAGGTTGACAGACCCAGAGACAAGATCTGGAGGCCCAGCCAGGAAAAGAAGATACTGTCCACCAGGCCATCACCCGCTGGGCCGCGGGCCCCTTCTCTGCAGTCCAGAGTGCTGGCTCCCTCCACTGGCCTCCACCCACCCTCTTCTCCTGGCCCAGGAAATGAAGTCAGCTCAGACTATGCTGTCCCAGGCCTGCTGATGGGCCCTCCGAGGCAAGGCGCTGTGAAACAGAAGCCCCACCCGTCCATTCTCCGTCTAGGAGAGGGGCTTCAGCCAGTCAGCACCCCAGGGAGGGAGTGGGAGGAGGCTGTACCAAGACCTCTGTCTGCTGGACCTGGGGGGGGGCAGGGAGACCCCAAGCCCCAGGGGAGCCTAGGGGCGGGAGAAGAGCTTGCGGGGCACTTGAGGAAGAGGGCCCGAAGCACTAAATCACCCTGCAGGGGGGGCGAGCTCTGCCAGAGCTCAGTGGGGTGGGGAAAGGATAGACGTTGGGAAGGGGGAGAGAGGGTGGGGAACCGCCACATCTGGCAGGCAGGTGTCTGGCACGCTCAGGCAGGCCGCAGTCACTTTCCCCGCGAGGAAAGAGGGGGAGGCTCCCAGACAGAGGCCCCTAGCGCCGGGGAGAGGCCAGCTCTGCCGTCTCTGCTGGCTGTGTTTGCGCAGGGTCCCGAGAGGACACTGCGGCCCGCGCGGAGCGTCCATCCCGGCTGCACTCCTGGCGGGAGCAAGCAGCTGCCCAGGCTCACGCCAGGCCGGCTGGGACGACCAGCTCGGGAACCGCGGCTTGGAGAACCGGACACTGTGCGCTCTGCACGCCGGCACTGACCTGCCCTGTCCCCACGGGCCCACAGCTGCCCCCCCCCGCCCCTCCCAGCGGTGCTGGAGGGAGAGTAGCAGGGCCAGGGGGGCCGCACCGGACCCTGCTCGCCCAGCGCAGGCCGGCGCGGACAGCCGGCCTAGCGTCTTCCCTCTCTTCTGTCTGCTGAGGAGACTCCCAGGCACAGCGGCCCGGAGCTGAACTTGCAGCC